CTAACGTGAACCACGGGGACCGTTAGATATCCGGCGCCAAATATTCGTTGGTTCTCTCTCTCTCTCTCTCCAAAAAGCTTCCCATAAAATCCAAAGAAAGCCATTTTTTAAAATTTGGAGACACTCCTAAGCTATATAGTCTCATTTGAGCTGTAAGTCCCACTCTACCCCCTTCCACTTCCATCTTAACTCTTCCATCTTTAACTTTTTCCTAATGGATAGTAGCTTCTCTTCTCCTCGAAACGATTCGTTTCCGGCTGGCCTCCGAGTTCTCGTCGTCGATGATGATCCAACTTGGCTTAAGATCTTAGAGAAGATGCTCAAGAAGTGCTCCTATGAAGGTTATTTTACGCTATCTCACTTTGTCACTGTTCCTCTGTTTCAATCATAATTTAAAGCTTTAGTCTTTCTTTCTGTTTTCTGAATTATTTCTTATGTTTGGTTGGTTTTTCTGATTGTATTTGGTGATTTTCAGAGATGGGTTTTTTGAGTTATGGGTTAATTTGGACAACAAGGGTAATGGGAGCTTAGTTAAATGTTCATCTATGGACTTAACTCCATGTATATGGAATTCAAGATTCATGCTTTATGTGAAGGTATTAAGGCAATATTCCTTGCATAACAGATAAAATGGGGTAGAACTTAGAAGTTGGTCTAATTGTCTAAGGCTGGCTGATGATGCTTTTGTGAATTACTCCATATGGGTTTCTTGAACCCGATGATTATTATCATCTTTTTCTAGAAGCAAAAACTAGTTGGCAGTTTCCTTTTAATTAAATTGATTATCACAAATGATCAGGGTTTAGTTGAGAAGAGTATTTGATTGTCTTTGCCTTCGTCAACCTGCTGCTTTGGCCCTTCTACAGGCTGCTTTGCAGGAGGATAATGATAATGTGATAGCAGTGCAATTAGGCACAAAGTGTTTCCTTTATTAGCTAGTTTAATCGAGTTTTGAACATTGATTTCTCTATCCAATATAAATGCTTAAAGTTGGTCGATTTCGGATAACTCGAGTGTTCAGCATTCTTTGGTACCTCTGGTAGTGTACTTGTATAATTGTTATCCAGATGAGTTGTATGGACAAATGGCCACAATTAATTACTCCCCAAATCCTGCATTCATTCTTGGATTTCTGATTTCAAGCCTCCTTTAGCACATTTTCCTTTATATCCTTGTTTCAACTATGTCCATGAAAGGCTTTTTTCTAGCAACATTTACCCCTTGTCTATTATGACTTTCATCATTACCTATGTCTATTATATTATATTCCTGGTCTTGTCATGTTGATTTAAAGACGGCGTTTTAATATTCTTACATTCTTGTATGCTCTATCATCTTTGTTCAATCGAATTTTCGAAGTATTTCACAGGAAACTGAAGTACTCTTACAGTCACTACTCAAGACACATAGCTTTACAATAGTTCCTTTGATTATGTTTGGGATATTCTCATGTATGCTTTCTTTTAAACGATCTGAGCAAGATAGAGAAGGCTTCCATTTAGAATGCTGGACAACTGGTTTTACTTTTCAAGTTCTTAGTCCCACTCATTTAAAAAAGGATTTCTGTCAGTCTTACAGGATTTTATTTTTATCTGATTAGTATACAGGATGACTTTGGCCAGTCTGACTATATATTCAACTTTCCAACCCAGTCTATGATGATATCATCAAATTTTCATCAATTCTGACTAGTTTTTTCTTTCCCCTTCTATGTGTTTCAGTGACTACATGTGGTTTGGCAAGAGATGCTTTAAACTTGCTTCGTGAAAAGAAAGATGGATATGACATTGTAGTCAGTGATGTGAACATGCCTGACATGGATGGTTTTAAACTTCTCGAGCATGTTGGACTTGAGATGGATCTTCCTGTTATCAGTCAGTACTCTGCCATCTGACACAAGCTTCGTCTTCAATTGAAAATTTCCCTTTACCATTTAGTTCCTGACAAATCATATTTTTTGTACCTGTGTAGTGATGTCTGTTGATGGAGAAACGAGTAGGGTAATGAAAGGTGTTCAGCACGGAGCATGTGATTATCTTCTTAAGCCAATAAGAATGAAAGAACTGCGTAATATATGGCAGCATGTATTCAGAAAGAAGATACATGAGATCAGAGACATTGAGAGTCACGAAAGCATTGAAGGTATTCAGCTGATAAGAAATGGATCAGATCAGTATGATGAGGGATACTTTTTTAGTGCAGAAGACCTCGCTTCATCGAGAAAAAGAAAGGATGTTGATAGTAAATATGATGACAAAGACTTTTCTGATTGTTCATCCACCAAAAAAGCTAGAGTTGTTTGGTCTGTAGACCTTCATCAGAAATTTGTAAAAGCAGTACATCAGATTGGATTTGACAGTAAGTAACTTCGTTTCTTATAAAGCTTGGTTTTTGGATCAGCATCATTAACTATAAATCTTAATAAATTTTATGTTTCTCAAAAGTCTGTTTCACATTTGTGTTGTTTTTCAATGATATAGCCACCAACTTTATTATGTTTCTACAGAGCGATGATGTGTAATGTCTGTTTGGCAGAAGTTGGTCCGAAGAAGATACTTGACCTGATGAACGTGCCTTGGTTGACAAGAGAAAATGTTGCTAGCCACTTGCAGGTAGATATCTCACTTCTTATCTAGTAGGATTTGTGCACTGCAGCACTTTCATTATGGAACTTTGGTAGCCAGAATACCCTGCAATGGATAATTTCCTTGTGCAATAATATATCCCATTTGTTTGGTCTCAGTTGGGTTTGTCACATTTTTTGACAGCATATGAAGAAGTTACTGTAATAATCCCTAGCATTCATCAATAGAAATTCTTGCTCTTTTAATAGCAGTTTTCTGTTTATGGTTCTCTTTCCTGATATTACTCATGCTGATATGTCACCTGAAGGTTTGAACAGCTAGTTGCCCCAAATATTTGAGGAAGGACAATGATCGTTAATCTTATCCATTTGGACTATGATTTCTTTCTTTATTTTATTTTCTGTTATTTTATAGAATGAATTATATGTAGCTACTTTCCCATCACCCAAATAATGGAACTTTCAGTCTTGCATGTAAACTGACGGTTAATTAATTTAATAGATAATATGCTTGCATATTCTCACTGAGAATTTTCATGTGCAGAAGTACCGGCTCTACTTGAGTAGGCTGCAAAAAGAAAATGATATTAAATCTTCTTTTGGTGGGACAAAGCATTCTGATTATTCCTCAAAAGATCTTCAAGGAATTCTTAGCGTTCAGAACTCGATCAACATCCAACAAAATGATGTTGCACATGGAAGCTACAGATTTTCTGGCAATAATTTAGTTGCTCAGAATGCGGATCCAAAGAGCAATGAAGGAGATATAAAGGGGATTGTTTCAGAGCCTGTAGCAGAACCTAAGAAAGGAACGACTGGCAATATTCCTGATTCTCAGAAGACGAGGAGTTCACAAATGGACTTCAATAGTTCTTATGCAGAAACCAAAAAAGGTTTGGTTGGAAACGTTCCTGATTCTCAGAAGATCAGGAGTTCACAGATGCGCGTCAATCATTCTTTTGCATCAGTGGAATCTGAAGTAAACTTGACAGCATTTGATTCCACCATCCCAGCGACGTATTCTTGGAATCAAATTCAATTGGAAAAAGAGCACAAGCCACTTATTCAGTTAAACAATGGCTTCAGCAAGCCTCTGCTGCCTGGTCCACAGCACCATTTCCAAGCTGATCAACTACAATCAATTCCTTCCATTAGCTCAAGACCTTCAATCCCAGGGGGAGATGTAACTGGCTCCAGTAAGAGTAAGCCTTCATATTCGGAGTACACAAACCATCATGGTAGCCGTGTAAGTCCAACAATAAGTCCAACAATAAGTGCAACAGACTCTTTTCCTGGTCAAACCAAGAGCTGTGTGGTAGACCATCAAGTTTCTGAGACCATTTCCACTAGTACATCAAACATGAAAAATCAGGGCATCAACCTGAGTACTGATTTGGAATCTGCCCATAGAAACCTAATCTTGGGAAGTACATCACCTTTTGCTTCTTTGGACGATGAGTTTCAGATTTGCTGGTATCAAGGTGATTGTTATGGTATGAATCTTGAACTTCAAAATGTAGAGTTCTCGGAGTATACTGATCCTACTCATGTTACTGAAGTTCCTGCTCACCTGTATGATGCACTGAGATTTGAATATCCATGTGACCCATCAGAATATTCTGTCCTAGATCAAGGTCTGTTCATTGCATGACATGCTCCTGCTCCAGCCTTGCTCTTTTGCATTTGCACATCTTCAACGATGAATGATCCTCCGCTATTTTGTGTTTGGTAAGCTAATATAGTTTTGAGTGTCCCAACTTAATGAATCTGGATACTATCTCTCTGACCAGTTTGGATTTGAACGTCGGAATGTGTATAATAGGAGTGATGGCAAACACTAGCAAAATAAGTTTTCTTCTTTATCTGGATGTGATGTGCATTAGCTTTCTTGTAACTATATGCATGTAGAGCAAAATGCCTGCCAGAATGTTTTGATGGATGTAAAAGCGCACAAAACTCATCATCCTCACAAGTTATGAAACCAGAAATAATTGTAATTAACAACTGAGCCAAACATAAAGTCTTTGTACTTTGTCAAAACAATCAAGTACTTTAAAGGACATCGTTTTTCAGCTGGTGATAAACTTCTTGTGGAATTTGGTTCAGCCCAATAAGGGCTTCTAGGGATAAAAATGCTTGTGAGACAAGTCTTGGCTCAGAATATCATGTGTACAATCCTTTTGTATGATCCCAAGTTAAGTAAGAACTGGATAAGAAACAAACACAGGGTGCTGAGATTTTTTATTTCTGTTTTGTAGGAAAATTGATAATCTGAAAACTATCAAATGGAAAAGAAAAATAATAATAAAGAAATGGGAAAAACATGGAGAAAGAATTTTAATTATTAAAAAAAAAAAGGTATGAAGAAGAAGCTGTCTGTCCATCTGGAACAACCAAAATATGCAATCATCCTAACTTTATATATTAATCATGACCAGTGCGGTTAAAAGCTATTTACAATCGCCAAAAGAACAAAGAACAAAGAAGCAAACATAAAAATGAAAGATGAGCCCTACAAAATTTCTAATTGACAGACCTCACAAATACACGCCCTGCTTACAAATAGTAGTTCTGGCCCTTGTGGGCCGTAATTTTTTTTATTTTCCTTTTCCTTTCTTCTTGGTTAGAGAGTGGTAACCGTCGGAGTCAATCAATCTTCATGCACTTTCCTAAGCTAGACACCCTCAACTCTGGATATTGGGAGGAGAATTCTCATGAGCATTCTTCTTCAAAATAGAAGGCACTGATCTATTTGTGCTCACTTTATATTTTTTTGTGGCATAGTTGGAGCTGTGAGAATTGACTGAAGGCCTAGAGCTTGGGTCCAGGGCCTTCCTGAGAGTAGACTGCCTTCCAAGTTTTGGTGACCGAGGCTGTGCCAGAGGTATCTGCAAAAATAAATGTCCTCTATTCATCAAAAGACATTAGGGGATAAAATAAGACTAACTAAGCAGAGAGTAGTAGTAGTAGTCTACATTGTTCCACACTCTAAAATTTCAGTAGAAACTTTCCAAGTACAGTTGAAAGCACCTTACATAAACAAACTTTGGAAGAAAACGTCACATGTGTATACCTTGTTCAACTGGTTACTTGGAAATTGTGATCCTGAAGACCGATCTTGATTTAGTTTGGCTTTTAAGCCAGTGCACTGACGCAGTTTATTAACATCCCCTACAGCTTTTTCCTGCATCAGATATATATATATTTTTAAGTAGACTTTTTAATGGCTTGACAAAGGAAATAAAAATAAAAAGAGAACAGCATTCAACTTGCACTAGTTTCTGCTCAGAAGTTAATAATCAGGTCATTCCACGTAGCATATTGCCCCATCACCAGTGTACTATCCTCTAATCATCTAGGGCAACTTCTGTAAATAATCCTTCAATCAACACAATCATTTGATTCGTAACACTAATTTGTATTTATCACCCTTCCTGAACTCTGTTTTGTATTTTTCACCCTTATAAATTAACCGAGACCCAAGAGAGGCATTACGAAGTTGCATAAATCATCATACAAATAGTAAATGAAAAGTTATTATGTCAAAATATTTTATTATAAGAAACTAACCTTTTTATTATATCTCAGTTGCAGCTGCTTATTTTCAGCCTCCTTGGCATTTTTCTTCTCTTCCAGCCTCTGAAAGAACTGACACAGCAAAAGAAGACAGCTTTTTTAATAAAGAAGCCCACAAATATTTAATGAACCATGGCATGATAAAAAGGGAACTTAAAACACAATATCGATTCTTGCCTCTTTACGCTTTTCTGCTCTTTCTTGACTCTTGAAGATAAAAGGACATGATGCAATAGGGGGTCGTGGTTTAGTTCCATTTGCAGTAGAAGATTGGCTGCCAAATAATCAGTTATTTAGATTCATAGTAATCCATTATCCGAAGTTTATAAGAATGCTGGCAGTTCCTTTGTCATCTAGTACACTAACTACTTTGGTCCATTCAGAATACAATCTAGAACATTATATGAATATAAGTAATTAATTCCACAACAAATAAAACAAAAGATGTTGGTTTAGGGGGGAAAAAAGTGAAACTTAGAAAGAGCAAAATCAATTTAGATAAGCACCCCAGAGCCAAGATAAAGTAAATAAAAAAACTCATAGGCATGTAAGTAGCAAAGTCCTTACTCTTTTGAGGAGGATGTCCATATCCCATCTGCAATTGCACCAGCCACCGACTTATTAAGTAATGTTTTTTCCCTGCAAACAATATAATTGATCGCTTGAATTAGAGTACTCAATGCATTTAGAAATAGCACAATGGAAAGGGAGTATGTAATGGACTGAGATATTGCGTGGACATGTCAAGTAGAAAGCAAGATACCTTCTATCTATGGACCATAGGTCTGCTGAAGACTGCTTTAATACCCCATTAACAGATGCCTGAAGTTGGCAAATAAAACTCTTATTAGATGTGTCATGTTTGTACAGAGTGCAGACAGATAGACCCATGAATATGATGAATAAAGAATTTTTTTTTTTTTTAAAAAAAAACAATGGCAAGAAAAGTGCATACCCTAGCTGTACTTTGTCGAGAAGCCGGCTTATTCATGGAGATATTAAACATAGTAGTATTACTTCTTGAATTTCTGGTCTTCTCCACAACTGGTGAAGTTATTTTACTGGTTTCACTTTCACCAGCATGAGAACTGAAATGGATTGACATGTGGAGAGATTTTCCAGTCAATCTCCTCTTGTCAACTAAGTCTGACGAAAATTTCTTACCCTTTTGAGTGACATTTTTCCCATTTATGGTTTGCACACGAGTTGCTTGTTTGGCAGGAGACATCGGGGCCTTGGATGCTATACCTTTAGTGGATAACCTTGGGGAAGAGTTTATCAATCTTTTCTTGTTCGTTGAAGCTAGATTCTCCTCGCCAACTGCTTCCTGGAAGATCACAGTTGGCGTGGTGAGGAAACATGATCAAGCAATTACAATGTAAAGAGTAAAAACAGGACAACATTCAACAGTTTACCTTATTTGGAATCTTCTCTTCTTGGGTGGCAACAATATCGTCTTGGTCTTTGTCATTTTCCAACTCGTTTGAGATTTCAACCTGAATAGGATTCGCCAAATTAACATTTTCTTGAACCACTGCTTCTGCTCCGTCCACCATGGAAACATCCAATTGATTCCCTTCAACATTTGGATTAGGGCCACTCATATCAGCTGGGCATACTACTACCTCAGAATTTGGCACAAAATTTTCCTGTTGTTTATCGACAACCATATGGCTCTCTCCATTCGCCGACTCTATGTTGGAGAAGCTGTCACAATTTTTGTACATATTTACTGACTCTGAGACATTACTGGCACTTGCATTTGTTACCTCAAGCAAGGCTGCTGCTTTCTCAGCAGCTTTTCTCTTGTAGTGAGCTTCAAAATAAGCCTTCTTCTCAGCAACAGAGCCGGGTTTGGAAAACTTTTCGACTTCTTCTAAGTAGCGATTGTGGGAAAACGCTGACCATTTCTCCCAAGCAAGAGGTTCTGACATATACCTGCCGAAGGAGATTGATTCTCCTAGGCAACGAAGGGGGTCCCCCTGCAATTAAAATCACATCTCAATTTCCTCAGTGAATTCTAGAAACTTGTGAAAAGGAAACGAAACCATCAATCCATAGAAGAAAAAACAATTGCAGAATTTTAACAAAGAGATACCCATAACATTTAATCCACCATGAAGAAGCTCACTGCCTAAATCCAAAAGAATGCCATGCAGGATTAGGGAAGCTAGAGAACTTTAATAGAGGAAACGAAACTGGTTAAAAATTACTGTTTTTTTCATAGGTCTAAAAGGCTCTGTCACTCTCTCTCTCTCTCTCTCTCTCTCTCTCTCATCTCGGAGAAGCAATAACGCAAGATTTGGAACAACCCGAACGAAATCATGAGCCGAAGGCATCCAATGGAAACCCACGAACCGCCTAAACTATAACACTACGCGCACTTTGGTCGCTAAACAACAAACAGAACAATAGCCATCTTTATCCAATACCCATTTCCCCAAATTCTCAATTTCCCACGATTTCTGAGCAGCCAAACAAACCGCAAGGCGAGAAAAACAGAGCAATTGGATAAAGACCCATTAAAGATTACGACAAAATATGAAAAACCCATCAATTGCAAAACTTTAAACACCAAAGAATCAAAGACGTGAAATTTTGCAAGGACTAACCTCTTTGACTTCACTGGAACACTTAGAAGGGCTAGAGAACGATCTCATTAGACAGGCTGATTCACCCATTTTCTCGAATTTGAAAACAATGCCACTTACACTTCCACTCTCTCTGTATCTCTTGAGCCCTGTTTCAGCGTTTCTTGGTGTTCCTCACAGACACAGACACTCTTGTTTTATCGTATCGTATGAAATCCCTCCAAGATTTTCATCCAATATATGGCTAGAAATTTGAATTGTGAATCAAAATTCACGCAAGGCGCCTTCTTGGCTCAATTCCATGTTTGGTTTGTGGCCAAAAATGTGCATAAAAAAGGAAGCATTTTTGTGAGAGTGTGGGTTTTTTTGTTTGCCTTTAAAGCGTGGGTTTTAGTTTCCTTCTTTATTTTCTTGGATGGAGATGTCGCTCCCCCTCTCCGGCTCTACCTATCTTTTCTAGGAATTTTTTTTTTTTTTTTTTTCATTTTATTGGATCAACAACACAACGGTCATTTGAAAGCACTGCGTGCGTATTGGGCCCCATTAGTTGGAGAATTACAACGTCTAGTTTCGCTTTTGCTAATTTGACAATGTACATGAACCTTTTTATTTTATTTTATTTTTGGAACACACTTTTAAATTCATAGGGTGAGAACCTCGAACTTTAATTATAAGCTAATGCGGATGAAGTTCCTTGTTTGTACCATAATTCACAATACCAAATACCAAATAACAATCATTCTTTTAAAATTAATCGATAAAAAATCACTTTTAGTTTTTGTAGTTTTCTACTTTTACCATTATGTCGTTTCAATTTAGTTAATTTTGTCCATGTAGTTTCAATTTGAAGTAATTCGAGAACAATCCTCAATTTCCATCAAATTTTTTAACTTCTGTTAGTTGTCGAGGGGCAATTCGGTCCACAAGTTATTAAAATATTAATTCCTTTGAAAAATAAACAATACAAATATAAATTTAAAAAATAAGTTTAAAAATAAAAATAAAACATCTCTCTCCTTTCTCCGCCCAACACCAGTGCCCACCAAAATGTTATGGGGTGTTCTTGAATAAAAAATGCACGAGCAAAAACTTTTCAAATAAGTTTTAGAAAGCAATCAAATTCTTATATTAATGCAAAAAAACAATCAAATTTTTAGCACTGAAGAAGTTCAAACAACCCCACCAAGACCCCAACCTTAGCCACACCTCAATTTTCCCTCCCCACAGCTACAATTCGCCAATTACCCTTCAACCCACCTCTTAGCAATGAGCTCGCTCACAACCCAACCCAGACTACAAAACCCACTCGTAAAACAACCCAGCGACACCCACTCAGGCCGCCATCCAACCTCCGCCCAATTAACCCTTCTCTTCTCCCCTCTTCGTTTGATGCCATCTGAGCGGATTCGGCCTCGCGACCCTCTGTTGTTCTCATAAGTTCCTCTATGTCACTTGAATGAAGAGGGTCCGTTCATCTTCATCTTTCTTTTCCAAAGAATGAAGATCGATTGACAATAGTTGAGAAAGTAGGGGCTGAGGAAGATATGCAAGAGTTGAGAAAATGAGAAATGGAATTAGTGAGCAAGAGAAGGGGAGAGAGAACTGGTTGGGGCAGCTGAGGGGTGGCTTGGCTAGCATGGGAGGAGGATGGTGCTTGAGCTGGGCTGTCGGGCCTGTGTTGCTCCTCCCGATAAATTATACAATACTACCGTAGCACCAGCTGGCGTTGCTGATTGGTACTACGGTCCAACAAGATTCAGCCATGTGTACAGCTTATACAGTCAGCAACAAACTTAATAGACTGCCGTTAACCCTTAACCACCATCGCTGCAAACTAGAAATACCCAAGACCAAATTCTCTGTGGGTTTCGCTGCCTGAAAATTTGACCCAAACTCGCTGCCAAAATTAAGTGCTCACCGATCCCCATCGCAGACTCGGGAGTTTATCAAGTCACTTGCGCCAATTGCTACTGATTTCAGGTCTGAATTGATGCAGTTCTTGGGTTCCAGCACCTCCGCCATTGTCTCCGATGAGGTCTCTTCGAGATTTTTTTCATTTTTCTCCCATAAGCAATGGCTGAAATTTTTTAAAACGACTGTGGAGGTGACTACAACGCTGAAAATCTTGCCGTTGAATATCCCCTTTAAAATTGACCCAAATTGACCGAAATTGACCGAAATTGACCCCTTCTGCCTCCCACATCAAGCTCAAAGCCTTTGCCTTTTTGGGTAATGACCCAGTGTCAAATAATTTTGTTGCACAACAATTGGTCAAAGGAACTCGTTCAATCAGTTAAAGGAAATATTTTGAAAGGTAGGTGGATGATTTATCCTATCCTCTCAGCTATTCAGCGAAAATGTAGCAACTTTAGTTCTTGTTCTTGGCACTGGGTCCCCCGAGGGGCAAACCGAGCAGCGGATGCTGCAGCTCAGCGAGCTAGGAGGAGGATGTGCGATGAAGTTTGGGCTTCCAGCCCCCCATCCTCTCTGGTTTTTGTGTTGCAAGCTGACGGACTTCCTAGCCCCCCGCTGTGCTAGTGCGTCTGTGCTGGACCCGGACGGGCTCCCCTTTTGGAGGCATCATAGTTACTGGTCTCTAGCCTTCGTTTTTCTAGCTGTTGTGCGTTTTGTTGTTGCTCTTTCTTTCCTTTTCTTTCTGTCTTTGGCTTATGTCTGTTTCTTCCCTTTTTTGTCTTTCTTTCGTTTTGAATGAAAGTTTCTCTTGACCAAAACAAAAAACAAAACAAAAAATCTTAGAGCTAAAAGCCAGCATTGGGAGGACTTCGGCCCCGTTTGGGATTGCTTTTTTTGGCCAAAAATCTGCTTAACTTTAAAGTTAAGCAGTTTAAGGTGTTTGGCAAAAATAAAATATCCTACTTATTTTAAAAGCAATGGTCTTTTGACAACAGCTTTTAAAAGCAACCTCGGGGTTGCTTTTTAAAGCTGCTTTTAATTG